GAGCTCTGTAATATTTGGTGCTTGCGCAATTGCTGTGCCCGTCGCGTGCCACATACCAAGTTGAGGCGCCATGTTCATCACAGAGAGAGAAGCTTTGCGTGCCCGGCCAACAAGGCCGGCCGGCTCTTCTGCTGCCATGGTGTCTTTGGAGAGGTTCTATCTTCCAGTAAATTTTGGATGGGGCGCGACCTGATTGACGGGGAGCCGTGAGTGTGGCAAAGGAATCGCGATGCTTTAGAACATGTACAAGTAGGTATGGAGTGTTGAAGAGGTTGCAGTGTTGTATGGAGCTAGGATACAAGGACCAGAAAATGTCAAAAAAAATTGCAATCATGGTGCAGGTTGTCCAACCAGATCCGCGAATTCTCGCGCTATCTACTCTGCGGTCCTCCTTTAACCTTGTTCAGACGCGAAAAAAAAAATAACAATATTGGGTGGCGGGTAAGGCGTTTACGTGTGAAAGAAAGAGCTGGTCCTGTATCTATGCCTACATGGAATGGTACCTAATTACAGTCATTGACAACCTTTAGCGCCCCTTCATCTAGCATCCATGATCCGATAGTAGTTGCGCGAACCACAAGCTCATGTTCCTGCGAAAGGCATGGGATTGAAGTGCAGGGTACCTACCAATGAAGAGATCATACAAGGTGGCTAGGGGGGTAACGTGCGGACCCATTCACCGCTACCTACCGGTAGCGTCGATCGTATTTCTAGCCTCGTTCCAAGAATGACGCAACGGCGCCAATGGCCATGTACTATGCAAGTTAGCTGTGATGTGATACAATCAAGCCTCAAGAACCAGGCTGCGGAGGCGCTCATGGCTAAAAGTCATCGGGGAAAGAAGAGTGGCTGCATCAGGTAGCTGTCAGCGTGGGACCCGGCGGAGAGATGATCCAATTCGGTGACCTCGATTGACTTCTGAAGTCCGGAGTTGCCGCCGTTGTGACCACGTCAAGGCCCAAGCCGCCCAATCCGTCAACCACGAGCATCCGCTGGAATTTGCCACGCTACTGGGTGCGCGCCCGCCGGTCACTTCTCTCATCCCTCGGTCGCACTCTTTCACTCGTACGGGAGCTTGGACGCATCCAGCAAGAGATTTCTAGAACCCACCCCGTTTCGTGCGAGTCGCGTCTGCACAAGATGCTCTCAAGTCCTGCGTCAACAGTAGACCGTCGTACGAAAGCATCGTACGGAAGCCTCGTTTATCATCGACTTCTTATCGACTTCTTATCAGCGTAAAAGTGAGCAACAGCGCCTCACGCCTTTGTCCAGCCTGCGCGCCCGCCATGCCTCACGGTGCTCCGAAGAAGCCGTTTGATGGGCAGCTTCACGACGTGAAGTCGAGATGTTGGGGCAAAGTGAATACCTTTGGTCAGATTGCTTTGCGCTTCCATTCGAACCCGACCAATCTGGAAAATTGGTTTCAGCAGAATTCTTTGGCTGACCAAAGTGCGCGGTCGTCATCGGATAGTACCTTAGTGGAGACGAAATCATGTCTACCAACACCACGACTAAACATTGCTATTCAAATCTGCGGATCAAGAGGCGACGTACAGCCTTTTATTCCAATTGCAAAAATACTTCAGGCGCCGCCATATGGACATCGCGTGCGGATATGCACACATCCTGTTTTCAAGGACTTTGTGGTAAGTCATGCCTGTCCGCCCGTGATATGCAGATCATTACGATTCCACACTGATACAAAGAATTAGGAAGGCAATGGGATAGAATTCTTCTCCATAGGCGGGGACCCAGAAGCTCTCATGGCCGTATGCGCTGTTTCCTACACTAATCATTCACCCCACACTAATACATAACCATAGTACATGGTTAAAAACCCAGGACTCTTACCCAGCATGGAAAGTCTCAAGGCCGGCGATATTGCCAAACGACGCAAAGAAATGGGCGAAATGGTCCAAAGCACGTGGCGCAGCTGCATCGAAGCCGGCAACGGTATGGGACCTCCTATAACTGCCATCAACGTCGACAACCCAGAAGATCTATTCATCGCAGACGTCATAATTGCCAATCCTCCATCAATGGGTCACATCCACTGTGCCGAGAAGTTGGGGATACCGTTGCATATGGTGTTTACTATGCCGTGGTCCCCAACCAAGGCGTTCCATCACCCGCTTGCTGCGATGGACTATGGAGATGTAGATCATCGTACTGCCAATTATTTCAGTTTTGCGATGATGGAGTTATTGACCTGGCAGGGGCTCGGAGATCTCATCAACAAGTTCAGGACACATACTTTGAAACTGGATCCAATTAGTCCAATGTGGGGATTTCAGTTGGTGCAGAGGCTCAAGGTGCCATATTCATACTTGTGGAGTCAGACTCTTATTCCCAAGCCGGAAGACTGGCCGTCCCATATCAGCGTGACGGGCTTCTCATTTTTGAAAGCAGGGCGTAACTACACGCCACCGCCAGACTTGGTGCAATTCCTGGAGTCGGGACCACCACCAGTGTACATTGGCTTTGGATCTATTGTTGTCGATAAGCCTAGTGAGCTTACGAAACTGCTCTTTGAAGCTGTGGCGTTGGCGGGTGTTCGAGCAATCATTTCAAAAGGCTGGGGAGGTTTCGAGGCAGACCAGGTACCGGATAATATCTATCTCATCGGAAATTGCCCTCACGACTGGCTTTTCCAACGTGTATCCTGCGTTGTTCATCATGGAGGCGCTGGCACAACAGCAGCGGGTATCGCCCTCGGCAAACCTACAGTCGTCGTACCCTTCTTCGGCGACCAACCGTTCTGGGGACAAATGATTGCTCGCGCTGGCGCGGGCCCGAAACCCATTCCTTATAAACTAATGACTGCAGAGAGCCTTGCCGATAGCATCAGATTTGCATTGAGAGACGACGTACGGGTATCTTGTGAAAGGATGGCGGCCGACATTGCAGAAGAAGACGGCGCAACAGACACTGTCAAAGCCTTTGAGCAGCACCTCAAGATCGACGATATGAGATGTCAGGTCTGTCCTGGACGTCTAGCCGTGTGGCTCGATAAAAAAACCGGCGTACATCTCAGTAATATGGCTGTCTGCACGCTCGCCGAGAAGGGACTTGTACATCCAAAGGAGCTGCGTCTGTTACGACATAAGAACTGGTATGTCCATGAAGGCGCAGAATCGCCTTTGATTGGTGCTGTTGCTGCCATGTCAGGGACTTTTGCCAGCATCGCAACAGCAACCTCGGATTATTCCGAGCGTCTGAAGAGGCCGAACAAACCTGCAGATTCTACCTCGCAACTCCCACGCAAACGCCAAGATGAAGAAGCTATTGACCAGCTAACCGGAATTCCCCGCCCTAATCCCACGCAGCTAGAAACAATGGCATGGCGCATGGCATTGAAGACTTACGAAGCAAATGTGCACGACAATTTTGAGAAACCGCCCGAGAATTCCAAATTGGCGAAGATGCGGGCACGCATCGCAGAAAAGAAGGCGAGGAGAGGTCGGGCACATCAGATTGTCTGCGCGACGGCACATTACGGGAAGGACTTGACAAAGACGGGACTTCAAGGTGAATTCTGCATTGTTGTCAGGACCGAGAGAGGGGGTGCTAATCATCAGGGCAGCACCCGTCGCATTTTTCTATAATGTTGCAAACGGCTTTCGGAATTTCCCTTCTTATGTCCTAAGAAATGAAATGAATCGGCGACGAGACGAAATCACTGGACTAGGCACTGGCCTTACTGTGGCTGGAAGAGTAAGCCTCACATTTCATTCCTTGTTCAACCCATTTTGACCGCTTATACTTGATTAACTCTCGTCAGGAATGTATCCTAGGATTCTACGAAGCCTTTGCTGGCGTCCTCTGTCATCCATACATGGCCGCGCGACAAGAAGGTGCCATTGGTGTTCCCAAGGGACTTGGTCGCAGCTTGTCCAGCTTCAGTTGCCACATCCTAGCCGGTGTCTTTGCGGTCCCAGGATACACGCTTAAAGGTATTGAGGCTGCATTGTCGAAACACAGCACTACGGATTTGCAGGCCGAACTTTATCTTATACGACTACGACAAGCGATTCACGATAAGAGTCAGACGACACAGGAAGAAAGAGCGGAGGTGGTGGAGAAGTGGAAGAATTTACAGGGACTTGCAGCGTAATTCTTGGACCTAGCCTCTACTATTTGTAAATGCTTCCCTTCAATCTTGTATATTTTCCTGTAATAGAGCTTTTAACACCTTTTGATGTTTGGTTGCTAGTAAGACAATGTACTTACATATAGAGCTAGATAATTTTTCATCAGAAATATACGGCCAGAGTAGCATATAAAACCGCGTTACACTATATTATCATTTAAATTTGAAAGTGTGATTTAGAGCAAGTACCGCATAAGGTGCGAACCTTGCAACAAAATAGACTACCAGTAAATTTCACCAAGTAAAAAATAGTTTAAACATACATTAAAGCCTAGGTATGGCATCCCTGCGCAGGACACATGTGAAGACACATTGCTGAAACAAAGAGACCAAAAAATTGTGAAGCAGCCAACACAGGACTGAGAAATGTAATGTTTAATTCACTAAGGCTATCTTCGCACTGAAGTAAGTTATGATCGAAGTACTTGTGGCGTTTCAACGTGCCAAAAAAATGTTTGCGGGTAGCCTGCAGCGTTCGGTAACCGCCTCGGCTAGCTACTGGCTCCACAGCTCCACCGAAATGTTTCTTATGCCTTGACATTCCAGTCCAGTACCACTAATATATAGTCTAACAAAAGACATTCGTCCATCAATACCAAACAACGCCTGGTTAGCTCAATCGGTAGAGCGTGAGACTCTTAGAGTCTTCGTTCCCCAAGAACGATTGATCCATCCAATCTCAAGGTTGCGGGTTCGGTTAGTATCCCCTCGGTACCACCGTTCGAATCACTCTTCTAACAGTTTCCCAGACCCCCGCATCGGGCTTGTATTCATCTTTTTTTGCCTGTGGACCGGTGAAGTATGGTCTGTGCGTCCCACCAGTCCCTCTAAGCTGAAATTGTTGGACAGATTTCAAGACAGGTTTTTTTGCAGCTGTAGCCAATGTAAAAAGTAATTAATATGCCAGATTAAGATATAGTCTAATATGTGGTCACGTACATGTGCGATTTTAATCAAGTGATGTTAATGTTAAAGTTGTTGCACCCATATACCATTGCGGGTAAAGGATAATTTTAGTAGTCGATACTGGCATACTATTTTAATCCTGCAGTTTACCATATGATATGCAAATACGTGATAACATAGAATCCTTAGTCTTGTCTCTGCCGCGCGTTAATATGAATTTTCTTGCAGCCGTTGACAACATATCCTGTACCTATCCGTACCCATGACTGTTTCTAACATAAACTCAATTGCTTTACTTGGATTATCCTGGTAATCAGACAAAAATTATTCTAGTATTAATGCAAATGTCGAGATGATCTGTCAAGTTTACTGCATCCTGTACACCTGATCTCGCGTTTCCCTTCCCCACACCCCCATTAAGAGTGGTTTAGCATGAAACTGGAGACGCGTCGCACCCATCCATTTACGTCATAACATATCGATCCGACCCAATCTCCGATCATCACCTCTGTTCTGCTGACGGTATCCGTGCCATTTTCTAGTCACTTCTCCCGAATTGTAGGGAACTACTACATAGCCATCGACGTTTCCCACCACACACCAACACTCTAACACACTTTGGACGCGCATCACTGAACATGGCCACCGCAAGCGACCGAGAACAAGTCACCGATGATATGCTCGAACATGAACTTGAGAATGAGCCATTGGCGAATTGAGATATTATACGGTAGGACTTTCTTTGCTGAGCACTTCAATTTCACCCTAATACTTGTCCTCTACGTGTCCCCTGCAACTGCAATTTTACACGGGATTCCCGACGCGCCTCTCTGACTTTTAATACAACCGCAAAATCCGCGCTCTGATCCATAATGGCGAGATGAAAGTTGGCGAATTCCAAAAGGCAATCGACGTGAAACCCAACGCGTATTCTTCATTTATGACTCAGAATGGGCCCGAGAAAGGCAAGGACTCAACAGTCTTCCTGTCTGCGTGGGCCTTTTTCAAGAAGCGGGAGATGCTTGGTATCAAACCGACACCGGCGAAGAAGAAGGCTGCTGCTGCGAAGGGGAAGGATCCTATGCCAAATGTTGATGATATTGAATTGGATGGGGAGAAAGATGGTGAGGTACCCATATATGGTATGCACTTTGTTCCATGAGTACCTTATCGTGCACCCTGACATCTTTCAGACACCTGCGATGAAATCCGTCGCAAGATTAACGCACACCTCAAGAAACCCGGCGTCACCGCCGCAGCATTCTGCCGCGCCATGGCCGGCTCCTTCAAGAAAGCACCTAGGAAGATCTCATCCGCCCAACTCTCAGCGTTTCGCAGTAAGAAGGGACCCTTTGCCGGTAACGCGTCCGGCGTATTCTACGGCGCTTATGTATACTTTGAAAAACTAAGGATCAAAGAGGGTAAGCCAAAAAGTCAAAGAAGAGGCTGGAGATGGAGGAAATTCATGGACCGAAGGGGCTGGAAAGGAAACATATGATGGACAATTTTCTCCCTGCAGATCAGATGAGAGACCGGTTGTGGATAGTTATGGGATATTTTCTATAATGAAGGTTTAGCGCTGTACTTGCAAGTTCTGAGACGATTCACGGAGTTCGAGGCACAATACTTTGATATGGTTGGTTTGATGGGGTTATCTTGGGCGGCATTTTGATATAATTTGAGGCGTATCAATGTTTCAAAGCACCTCTAAGATGTACGATTCGTGTATACGTAGTGTAGGCTTCAAAGTATGATACTGCGTTCTGATCAGAGCCTGGATTGCTAAGCATTTTATGTAGGTGCGGAATCGCTCATCGCAATATCCAGTGTACTGTTTGATACTCTGTCCCGCACAGCTCAGGCAGGATCGGTTTACTGATGGGTGTCGGCACTGTTGGTTATGACAAGTTACCCTGGCCGTCAGTATATGACACTTGATAGTTAAGCACTGCAACTTGACGGGCGCCACATAGTTGAATCTTGATAACAGTATCCCATGTCGACAATATGCACATGGCCTTCTCACATTTTAACAACCCTCCATCCATATTGAACTTGAACCGAAACGCCAAACGCCAAACGCCAATGCTCGAATATACATTGTTGATGATCGGATTGCAATATCCAGTAGGAGCCCAAGAGCTATATTGTCGCTGCAGCCTCGATAGCGCCCGCCAATTTGAACGTCTTCGGACTCGAGATGACGACTTCGACTGGATATTTCCATGTCATGTATTTTGCCCAACCTTGAAATTCATCAGTATGGCTTCTGACCCAATATCTCCACGAATGGCTTATTCAACATAACGTACCCCAATATGCACACTTTCTACCAAAGTATTTGCCCAGATAGGGTACCACGACCATTGTCAACAGTAGCTCCAACTGTTGCAGCGATTCTCTCCACTCCCGCTCAGCATCTGAAATGTATTCCTCGTCGTCCACTGTCGAGCTCGTAGCGGAAGAGGGCAGCGAATCGATCTCATCGGCGTCTGAGGCGCTCAGATGAGGCTCAGTGAAGCTCTCGCTGTTTTCTAGCGACATGGCGACTGACCTCTGAATTGGAAATGTGGCAGATATTCGGGAGGTAGAGTGTAACTCAATGAGACGGGCTATCGTGCACACATGGATAACTGTGAATGAGATGCGTCGTGGTCGTGGCGTACATTGGGAAAGCTGGACTGGCCAATGAACGGTGGTGGGGCGGCGGCGATCAGATCACGTGACTGGAAATCTTGGCCTTCGTTGTTCGACTCACACATGCTATTCGACTCATTAAGTGACCTTGTTGTTCGACAACTACACCTTGCAACTACACCACACACACATCTGGAACACGCCTTGCAGCATAAACTCGGACTATACGAACGACAAGATTACGACAAGTCCACCGCAATCATGGCTGATACTGTACGTCATCCGTACCCCCACATTCGCTGTCGAAAAGCGCTCTCAACGCTATGGAGAATCGCCAGGCTTGGCTCCAGGCTCCTCCTCACAACTTCTGGAGCACATTATCTACGATAGAACGCCCCAAAATATGCTGGTACTGACATGGTGAAGGCTGAGCATCCCGATCGCAAACCCCGCAAGTCCGTAGCATTCTCAGAAGGTGCCACAATCGTCGACAGCAATGGCGATGTCACAGAGTCAAAAGAAGTGAATGGTGGTAAGTCCTCTGCGGAGAGTCATGCGTCTGGTGAGGTCTTCTTCCAACACGAAAAGGGTCATGTACTGACGGGAAGGGTAATAGGCGACGACAAAGAGGTCGAGGAAGTCACCGACATGTTCGCTGATCTGGCTAAGAAGGTGCGCATTCATCCCTTGATGATCGTGTAAAGTATACCGAGTTAACCTCCAGATAGAAGAAGAAGAAGAGCAAGAAGACCGAGGAGGATGGCGATGCTGGCGAGGGTGACTTCGCTGCGCTCAAGAAAAAGAAGAAGTCCAGCAAGAAGAAGGTTGAGGATGACTTCGAAGCCAAGCTTGCCGCTGCAGGAGGGGATAAAGCCGAGGGTGAAGAGGACGCTGCAGCTGCCCAGCCAGAGGTGCAAGAGGGCGACATGATGAAGGGCACGGGCATCTGGCAACACGACTCGACGACGCCGATTTCTTACAACCTCCTTCTAAGCCGCTTCTTCACGCTGCTCCACTCGACACATCCTGACCTTGCCAGCTCGGGCACAAAGAGCTACAAGATTCCACCCCCGCAGTGCATGCGTGAAGGAAACAAGAAGACCATCTTTGCCAACCTCGCTGAGATTTGCAAGAGGATGAAGCGTACTGAGGAGCACGTCACCCAGTTCTTGTTTGCCGAGTTGGGTACGAGCGGTTCCGTTGCAGAAGGAAGGCGTCTGGTCATCAAGGGTCGTTTCCAGCAGAAGCAATTGGAGAATGTCTTGAGGCGGTACATTGTCGAATACGTCACGTGCAAGACGTGCCGTTCGCCGGACACAGAGTATGTTGTGCACGTCCAAGTTACGAACCAGATTGCTAATATGCTCAAAGCCTCTCCAAGGGTGAGAACCGTCTCAATTTCGTCACCTGCAACAGCTGCGGGTCTCGACGATCCGTCCAGGCCATCAAGACTGGTTTCTCGGCGCAAATCGGAAAGCGAAGGAGAATGGTGGGCTAGAAGGTTTCTTGACTATGCGGTTCACGATGTTTATGGCATGCATGGCTTGGGCTGTGCTTTTTGGTGGGCGCTTCTGCTGGGGGGTACGGCATAGCATGTCATGTTAAGGACCATTCATGAGGGTTAATCGGGACGGGACTGTATTCCAGGTTTTGTATCTTTATGAGCAGCCAACAGAAAAAAGGCACTGATGATGCTATATGGGCTCTTCAAGGACGGTCATGGGTAGTGTTAGGCCAGGTGACAATAAATTTATAGGCGCCCTGCAAATCGTTCGCGTCGGCGCTTGCATCCTCCACCCCACCATCACAAGCTTGGACTTCTGAAGCTTGCTGCGGTACACAGGCCTCACAAGCTTTCGAACGCGTACCGACATGACACAACGACCTCGCAGTGTACATATGACAGAGGCGGGAATAGCCACTTCGTATGACCCAACCTTTGTCAAATATATCTCGCGTCTCCGGTCAGTGGCAGGCTGGCACATGTTCGCACGGCAGGCTTGTGAGCAAGGGTAGGCGGGGCGCTGATTCGGCGGCTCGAAGTACCCCGCTAAGCCAACAGGCTGCTGGCGAGAGGCTGAGCAGCTTTTGTCGTCCAGCAACGAATGGGCTGGCAAGGGGGCGCGCGGTTAATCTTGGATGTGACTAGGACATGTGTGCTGATGCTCCTCCGTAGACAGATTCAATACTCCTTCTATACCTGGTTGCTCTTCCTTGTCTCTATCAGTCGGGAGTGACATATACGCGGCTCTGTTGGAGTTGATCGCACGCGGAAACTACACTGTATAGCTTGACACTGTATAGCTTGACTCTACTTGAAGCCCTGAGACTAGTGAACAATGTCCGGATACGGAAGTCCGCCTCCAGGAGGGAACTATTACCCTCGTGAGTCGAGTCGCATAACACTTCATCCTACTTCTTCCTCTGACACCTCACAGCACCGCCTGAGAAGAGCGGATACGGTACGTTTACACGGCCACTCCATGTCTCGCAACCCCACAGCTTCCATCTAACGCTCTATCAGATCAACAGCAACATCAGCAGCCTCAGCAGCAGCAGCAGCAACAACAACAACAACAACAGTACTTTTCTCCCCCACCAGGCGGCGTATCCTACCCTCCTCCTCCCCAGTCGCCCCCTGCGCACCAACAAACACACCAGCACTACCCGCCTCCTCCAGGTGGCGCTCAGCAACAGTATGCGCCACCTCCTGAACAGCACCAGCAGCAGCAACATTTCCCTCCACCCGGTAGCGCCCCGCAATACCAGCAGCCTGCGCCGCAGCAACCTCAAATCTCCCAGCAACCGTTGGCGTCGCCCTATGGCGCACCAAGCCAGAGCCCCCAGCAGAATGATCCCAGGGCATCGATGCAGCAAACCTTTAGTGCGCAGAATATACCACAGTCTCCCGTGTTTGCAGGAGCAGGAGTGGGAGGAGGTGTTGCAGCCAGCGGCCAAGCTGTAGCTGGGGCCCAAGGTCCCGTGGCAATAGCAACGGCTGATGATGTAGGCACCTTCAATGGAGGGAGTTACCGCGTCAGTCATCGTGACACGAATACGATTCTCACCGTGCAATTGGCGATTGGGTGTCCGTTGACTGCAAAGCCTGGTATGCTTTTCACGATTTCGTGCCTCTCTTTGCAACCTTCCTTTCCACCAAACCTTCTCCAAGGACGAATAGACTAATCACAGGAAGAAACGAACATATTGTTTGCTAACACGAGTAAAACAGGCTCAATGATCGCAATGACCCCAACCATCACGCTAAAAGGCACCATGAAATTCTCCCTCAAAAAAGCCTTTACGGGCGGCGAAATGTCCAAGTCCCAATACATTGGCCCTGGCGAGCTTTTACTCGCACCCGCTGCCATTGGCGACATCACAATCATCAAGCTCAGTGGCAAAGAGACCTGGAGCTGTGGCCACGACGCCTTCTTAGCATGTACGCAGGGTATTGTTACCGAGTACAAAAGCCAGGGCCTCAGCAAAGCCATGTTCAGCGGAGAAGGGCTCTTCGTGTACAAGATTAGCGGACAAGGTGTGCTTTGGTGCACGAGTTTTGGCGCTATCATCAGGAAAGATGTCAGTCTCTTCAATTCTCCTTTCCAATATTGGGTTTACGAAATGGATGATCTTCACGGATTGCCAATTGCAGGTTGCGGCTTGACAGTGCTGAACAGATTGAGCAAATGCTAACCGAAAATCCCTGTTAGCTGCAAAAAGACGAAAAGTACATCATTGATAATGGCCACTTGGTGGCTTGGAACTGCAAGTACGTCATGGAGCGTGTTGCTTCGGGTGGGATCATGTCGAACATGATGGCGGGTGAAGGTCTGGTGTGTAAGTTCACAGGACCGGGCACGATTTTCATGCAGACGAGAAATGCGCAGCAGTTTTCAGCGTGGTTGGCTGCACATGGGGCGGCGGCTTAGAGGGTGTTTTGAGACAAGAGGAGATTGCATGGAAAAGAGTCAGATGGTGAGTAGGGTAAGGGATGTTGGAGAAAGTGTTGGTCGTTGAGCTATTCATGAAAGATGTCATAGCGCTTCGCAATCGTACATTCTATCTCATATCCATATCGTATCTATACCTATAATCATACAGCATATCTCGGCGAACCATGTACACGTAGTATTACAGCATTTAATCCAGTCCAGCAGCCAGTCTAGTTCGCACGGCTCCTGGCCAACTCGCTCTGCGCCGTGCTCGTCGGCCCTCCCTTGACCCTCTCACCTCCTGTAATCTTCTTCTCGCCCTCGGTGATATCATGCAGAGCCTGGCTGGTAATCGGCTCATTTGCATGTTTCTGCGCTTGCGCCGTAGGACCACCCTGCACCGCACCATCCTGACCCGTGAGTTTCTTTTCCGCATCTGTGATCTTAGACAGCGTCGACGAGTCGAGTTTGCCCGTGTGCTCCCCGGCACTGCTATTCGCATTCGCACTCGCAGCACTGCTGTTCTGGCTCAAATCCGACAAGATCTTCGAACTGTTACTCGTATTCTTCTCCCCACCCACATCGCGCACATGCCCACCCACCAGCGCACTCTGCGCCACACTCGTCGGTCCCCCCTGCACCGGCTCATCGCTGTTCGTAATCACCTTCTCGCCCGCCGTGATGTCGCTCACAATCGCCGCGCTGAGCTCCTGGCCCACGTGCGATTGCGCTTTTGCGGTCGGCCCGCCTTTGACCGGTTCATCACTGTTTGTGAGCGCTTTCTCGGCCGCCGTGATTTGCGAGATGAAGTTCGAGTCGACTTTGAGGGCGAGGAGACGGGTTGTGGTGAATTTTCGGGTGGCGGTGCAGCGGAGGGTGGAAAAGGTGCGGGTTGTGCGGAGAAAAGACATGGTGTATGTCTTGGGTGTGTTTTAGAGAGAAATAGAAGTGGCAATGGCAATAGTGGAATTGATATGGATATCGGAAATTTGAGAAGAGATTTGATTTCGTACTGATTTGCAAGAAAAGAAAACGCACGATTCAAGGGAAGATGGACCCCTCATATACGAAATGCCAAACTCCCCTTGACCTACCTCATCCTAATCCATTTTCCAAACTACTTCATCATGCATCATCCCGACCCGAGCCGTGCGTACCGTGTTTTCCCAAGTTCCCCAATGACCAAGTGATGCGGAAATCACATCACCGATGTCTGCGGCCATGGGCGATGTGGGAGCCAGGGCAGGTGGAGCACATGATGTCAGCATCCATGGGGGGAAAAGAAAGGGTCCGGGCGCTAGTGGGTTTGTGGAAGGGAAATTGTGGGGCTGGTCCCTGGGGATGGACGTCACGCCTAGTTGAAGTTCTCCCGGCACGACAGGACATGTTTGGGGATCATTTTGGAGCTAGCCTTCACCTTCACCGCGCCAGTGACCTCGGTGGCGGGGTGGGTTGTCCAGCAGCTCTTGTCTTTCTGTCACACAATACCAGACTTATACCGTCACTGATCAATCAACTGCACCTTCCCTGGTCCGAAAACCTACCTACATTCTAAGCGACTTGGAGTGACACGACCATTATGTCTCTGCTGCACACACCGCCAGAGACCTTTCAGCACATCATTCACGACCTCGTCTCCACAGCTGGCTGTCGCGAAGCTTGCAAGTTACGCATAGTATGCCGTAAGTGTAAATGATGAAGAAATTCAACATTCGAACGTTCACTAATATGTGCAGACACCTTTTGCATTTGAATTCCGCCACGATATTCTTGCCAATCGATCAAGCCATGAACTCCAAACCTCTGGAATTGGTTCCGTTTTGAGCCATAATCTGGGCGCTCTGTTGTTCAACAGGTCAAGGAGACACCTGGGCGAAAATCCGGCTCCACCTGAAAAGATCGAAGAGATGGGTCGCTACTTGACCAAAGAGCTCCAAATGCATGAAATTTCGGCACAGAATTCTTTGATGACCATGCGTCAGAATGTCGTTTCAGCAATTGGACGGCCGAAAGTATTTGGACTACTTGGGTATGGCCTACCTGAACCGGACAACTGCACTGATCAGCACACCCGTCCGTTTACCGAGGACGATATCATTGCGCTGAAGCAGCCATTGAGCCTCCCAGAAAAGATTTGTGCCGCCATTGCCATCGATTCCCACCTGCTTGTGCGCCAGCTCTTGGGTAGAGCAAATGGTCGTCACCTGGTGCGTGATCGTGCGCTCGGTATCGCCAATGCAGTAACGTTTGCTATCTCACAAGCTAGTCAAGACATGCTAAAAGCATTTCTGGGCTTCCTTGAATCTTCTGGTATACACGGCTATCCCATCCAAGAGGCACTGTCTAGAAAAGACTAAAATGTGGATTTTCTAGATGACCGGTCTGGAAAATACTACAATCGTTCAAAGCAAACGCCGCTAGAATTTGTTGTCGGGATAGAGCGGACAGACGCTGTCGAGGTTCTCCAGGTCTACTATCGACGGCACTTTGGGTCGTTCGAGAGAACTATGCAGCAAGCGTTATTGTTCAGTGCCATCGATTCTGGATCATCACGAATGGTACATCTCCTTCTTGAGCTTCCAGTCAAGCAGAGTGGCCCTTGGGTCACCCAGAATCATATGCGACAAGCTGCACGCATAGGTTCTCTCGAGGTCATGATTGAACTTATGACTGCCCCTGATATGAACATCAACAAAAGCTACAAGAATTCATCGCAGAGAGAATTTTTTACGTATAGTCAGAGGCCTCCTGGCAGCCGGTGCTGAAGTTGACATGATCATTGCTGAAGGCTTAAGGAAACATACCGCGTTCATAGTGGCACTGGAAATTGGCAAATACCCTATTGCCATGGAGCTTCTGAGGCATGGTGCAAAGATACCGGACGAGTCCACGACTCAGGGATGGCCCAGGCAAAGGAGAAAACACTTCTATTGTGCACTTGAGATCCTGAAAGGACACAAAGCCCTGACAAGGAAAACACGACAGATGTACGTCTGTGGACACCATGTTTGCAGACTGGCTTTCATTGAAATGTCTTTTCGATATTTTATGCAGCTAGAGAGCATGGGGAAACATTGCGCAGGACATGAATTGAAGAGATGCGATAGTGATCGAAGCAAACGTGTACGTAGGGATGATTATTACGACGGATCACTTGGAGAATTTTCGCAGCTTGCAGGCTTCTTCGTATGAGTTTCCAGCATACTTCGCTTGTTAACCCTGCAAACAAAGTTGAATTTTCCCGTTGAACATTACCATGAAGCAATTTCCACAATCAGTTGTCGGGCCTTCGTGATTGTATTCCAAACATAATTATGCAGACTGAGTCCACAAACAATACATGTGAGCGTACTACTTAATCTTGTCTTAGCTTACATCGGGATTTTCTTCGCTCAATGATGTTTGGCCAACGCAACAACTCTTGATAATATTTGAGAGCATTACCTTCGCCGTTTGAGACTTCAAAGTTGCCAAGACCTTCGATACTTTCTCAATGTATTTCATTATCGACAACAATCCGAGTGGGTATGAGACTATCTGTGATGTGATCTACACCTATTGCAAGACCTGGAAACATCGAGGCAGTATCTTTATTGCTCCTGGAGTGTTACATGCCTATCGATACACAAAATCCACGTGCTGTCATCGAGCCAAGCTACACATTGCCGCCATCTCTTCATATTACGAAAGGTCTTGGGAACCGGAACTGACTAACAAACAACTTTTTTCATCATCAAATTAGTTGATATTGGCAAATTCAAGGTCGAAAATCAGTCGAATTCGCAAACCGCGCAGGATACTGATCGACAATCCGATCGAACCCGATGACTGTAGTTCAAATTTCGGTTTATGCCACATTACCAAATAAGCAGCGATATATCACATCATTCAAAGAAAGAGAACTTTTCGAAATCGGGGAAAGAGCAAAAAGATATTGGTCTTGAGGCGCAACTAGCTCGATCTCAAACAATGAGCGAGGATTGCCATGACTTTTCTTGCAAAGCTAGCGTTAACTATGTGCAATGTTTGTTCAAAGGCACTGGGCTGTTGACTCCTCACATGAAGTGAAAAGGGGCGATTTGCGAACATGTCTTTCACTCATCTCATGAGCTCCCAAAATCAGAGACGGCCATACATGTGAATGTACTGTTCACAAGATCCCATGACTGGGAATGAAATGTGTCTCGGTGCAAACGAAATTTCACTCTCCTGGTCTATATAAACTCCTCCCAACCCATCTACTGTTGTCTTCCCACATCACAGTTTCGAAAACATTCCACCAAACAGCTGATATCTTACCCGCCAAGCGATAGTCGAAAACACTCCACCAAACAACTGATACCTTACCCAATATACGATATTCATTCGACAATATGTTCCGACTCAATGATCTACCACCGGAACTCTTCAGCAACGTCATCCATGAGTTGGTATCAGACATCGGCATCAATGAAGCATGGCGATTACGTGAGACCTCTCGCCTATTTGCCGCAGAAATAGACAACAATGTTGTCTCAAAGCAACGACTCGATATCAACAACAAAGAGAACACGCTAAACATAGCTATTGGCAAAGCAGCGAAGTATCTCTTTTACCAGGTCATCCGGAAACAACCCGACCCTCATACGCGCCCAGCACTTCCACTTCTGGTGCGACGATTGGCCAGCTATCTTCAGGAAGAGCTTGGTGTTCCTGCGAAAGAAGAATACAAAACGATTCGAGATCTTTGCCAAGGACTTGTCAATACCCTCGGCTCTACACAGATCTACTGGTTGATACAGAAGGAACAGCCCTTGACAATGCAAAAGCATCCATTCCTCGAACCGCCCAAAGAGTTGAGTGGCAATCAAAAGCTCTTTGCTTCCATAAGCATCCGTTCGCATACATTGACAGAGAAGCTTCTCGCCGAGATCAACACCACCCACGAGTTTGAGCTCCCTATTCCTCCCCTCGAAGTCGCCCTGGGTTCGAATGATGAGAAACTCTATGGCATCCTGCTGAGTCGCATCGAATCCTATACCGGAACGGAGAAACAGCAGTCTATTTCGCAGCTCGGAGTCGATGCAGCGATAATTCATTCAATCAAGATCGGCAATCTGACGCATACGAAGCAGCTCGTACAACTTCGTGAATCAGTTGAGCCCAGGGTTGCCGCAGAAGCCTCTCGGTTTTGGCTCGTCACGGCAATAGAGACGAGGCAGTTGACAGTTGCCCAACGCTTCGTAAACATGTTTCCTGAACTCAGCCAGAGGAATCTCACCCACTTGACCGTTGTCACTCGTACTTGCCAGACCGGTAGCACTGACATGATGAACCTGTTGATCAATGAGGGCAGTCTTGATCTCTCAAAAGGCAACGTACGGACTTTGCCGTTGGCATGTGCCGTCCGGAACGGATCTCCAGCGATCATTGAAGCTATCATTGACGCTGGAGCGGATGTCAACAAGCGTCTGGAAGGTCGCAATAAGAAGTCCGGACCACAGACTGTCTCCGAGCTTGCAGTTCGCCCAAAGGACTTGGGCATCCTCGACTGTTTGCTCGGTCGTGGAGCGAATTTACCGCGAAAGCGCTTCTGGCCAACCACAAAGAGATCATATCAACGATTTCGTGAGGCTGTGTCAAAGCATGATGCATTCTCCGGCCAGGTTCCGGAGTGGGAGGACTTCATGGCTGAGGAGAAGTAGTGGGCTAGGCATACCTCTCGAAGGTAGCGGCTACGAGGATTAATGCTTGGAATCAGTTGTGTGGATAGACGGGATGTTGTTTCAACGGTTTTCGAACTCAATTCAACGGAGGATGGCTCGGACGATGATCTGACACTGTCAAATATATTCCAGACATCGAGATTCTGTACTATGAGTAACGAATGCCAATCACTCACCCATTCATTGTACGCATCTCATCTTCATGCAGCCTCTGATGAAAGGTACTCTTGAAACGATAACTGTTAAGTAAATCAGATCTGTGTAATTTAATCCTTATATTATTGGTGCGGATAGCTGTACCTGCCTAAACATTGCACAATTCCAATTGCCTGATGAAGGCCATACCAGCCATGTGAATGGGCAATAATTCCCAGCCGTCTCGGACCATTCGAAATGAGGTAGGACAGGGTATCATCCACGTCTCCGCTTCCTTTTACGACACACGTATCCTGCCTCACGTATACAAATGCTGATATAAGTTAATGCAATCTTTTCAGTTGGACAAACGACCTGTTCTGCCCATTTCGTAAGGTTCAACGGATTTGGTATGGCCTCGTTCGTGTGCACTAGACTCTCAATCCGCTCGAAGCTGTGGGCTCATGGGCGAGACCCCCCATCGCAAGCATGGACTTTCTCGATGCGGGGCTAAATGAACAGCTGTTCCTGGGGTTGGCTTCCTGTGGACGGTTTCAATACAAAGTGCAGAATACGAAGACTGTCAGAAGCGAAGAAGCAGCCATACGGTACGGGATGGTACTTGGTGCGCCACCACTGCTGCTCCGCTTTCCCGTAGGAGATTGTTCGCCAAATTTTGGCAGCAATATGAAAAAGGACTTTGGCGGTCAAAAGAGGAAGAGGAGTGTGTAGTGCCGGCCTCGGTATGTAAGCACAAGTGAACAATATCCAATGTGGCTAGACACCGGCGGAGTTCGCACCGCGAAGGCACGAAACCTTCCCTGCATCCGTTCCGGGATCGTCAGGTGGCACGGGTAAAGGAGACACCCATGTTTCAAGAATCATGCGGCCAAGGGTGATCCCCCTCATTATGTATCTCTAGACTATCCCGATTTCTTCGAGTCATGTTCCTCTTGTGCGAAATGTGCCACACTGACTACTGCAGGTGATTACTGTGATATGTCCAGCAAAACTGGGCTTTACGCTGGCGTCACATGTTGTCACGCACCATTCTGTTCGGACCGGCAAGCAGAAGATGACGCTGCTCTCACCTTCCCTCGACGCCTCATTACCGGTACCATCCTCATATCATCACTTCAGTACATGCACGCCCAAGCAAGAAAGGAATGGGAACCCAGAGCGACCTGCTTACGTGTGCCACAGATCAACATTATGGGTCTTTTGGTCTTGCTGAGCCTCATCTCTGCCCAACAGGTATTGCTTGTGTCATCATTTTGCTCGAAGACCAGCCGACTGAACATCGAGTCTGCAAACTACGACGATGGCTCGAGCATTACCCTGAAGGTTTTCTGGATTGCCTGGGCGAGCAAATGCGAGCCTGAAACAACAACGGGGTGTCCTTTCTTGTGAACAGAGACTACTCGATTCCGCAGCATCTGATTGGGGAATGGACCATCCTGAAAAGTATAAATCTGGACAACACGATTTTCTTCAATTTGATCTGATTCGACACAAAAGTTAATCGACACGCGACAATAGGAACTAGGCATGCGCAAACGGCAGTGCGCAGGCCGTTGCGGAACTCTGACCAGGATTCGCATCAACTCGGGCCGTCACTCGTGTCGGCCTCATTGGCGGCGATATGGTCGCCCCAGCACTGCGAATTTCCCCACGATCGTATACCCAGTCTGAGACTCGAGGCGTGGTTTAGTCCGTATTATTTCCTAATTGGGTCGTAGTCACATGGATCAAAACGGCTCTGGCGCCCCAAGACGTGGAAAAGGTCGATTCACATTGACGTTAGACACGCGCGCGACTGCGGCACGGTACTTGCAGGCGTATACCTAGCTTTGAAGCCACGAGTCTGGACCCACGGAACGAAGTATTGCAAAGGGCTGTGCGGATTATGAGTAACGACAGCAGGAGCAAGTAGGTAAAGTGGTGGGGCTGCGCGTTTGCTTACATGCAATCTACCCTACCTGATCAACGTCTTTTATGCTCCTCTCCCACCACCTTACATGTCAACAATTTTGTAAGGTACCATGGTCCTCGTCGATTTACAGGTACGGGCCGAGGGCATGGGTGCCACCCATTCGCTGCCCTACAAGATCGCCCTCATTGCCATATGCTTCCTGGCTCTCGCTGTCTGGAACGCGTTTGAGGTCTTCGTCAGCATCTTTCGTCGCTTTCGCAGGTATACCGGTCTATACTTCTACTCGCTCATCGCCGCCTCGGTCGGTATCCCGTTACACGCCCTGGGTTACTTTCTTCGCTTCTACGATGTCTCCAATTCGGTCCCGATCCAAACTTTACTGGTCTGCGGAGGTGGCATGCTCATGATCACTGGACAGAGCATCGTCTTGTGGTCACGGCTTCATTTGATCAGTCCAGGAAGAAGAGACAGATGGCTGTTGTGGATGATCATTTGCGCCTGCTTCATCGTCCAGGGTGGCGCGACAGTGTTATTTACGGCGGCAGCTATTCCGTCATCGGCGCAGGGTTTTCTCAATGTCTACCAGATATGGGAACCCTTTCAAGTCACTTGGTTCGCCTTCCAGGAATCTCTCATCAGCTGCATCTACATATACAGAACCTCCGTCCTCATACGCAGTTCGGCCATCTTCCGCAGCAAGGACACGAAACGCATCTTCAATCACCTCATGATTGTCAACGCCATCATCATCGCTTTCGACATCACAATCGTTTCCTTCCAGTTCGCGAACCTCTTCTACCTACAGACCAGCTGGAAAACCTTCGTCTACGCTGTCAAACTCCGGCTTGAGTTCGACATTCTCCAGCAGCTCGTCGACTTCACGCAAGCGGGATTCATCGGTGGTGGCTCGAGGCCAGATGACATGTCGCTAGGGCCAGCAGATGAGCGCAATGAGACTACAAGCAGGGTAGAGGCAGCGCCTCCCCAACCGAGATTCGGCAACTCTTCCTATGCGCGCATGAGCGAAGATGGCGAAATACCTGTTTTGCCTGTGGCGGACATGATGCGGAAGACCACGAAAGTGGAGGTCACGATTGAAGACGATGATGCTTCAAGTAACATGAGCACGAAAAAATTACGAGGACACGAGGAGCCTGCTTAATACCCATCTGGCGTTCATGAATTGTTTTCCGGCGTTATAATACTATTAGAGTTGCTCAACTAGAACGTATACGGGATTTTAATACGAAAGGCTGCTAGCCATGATTCACTTTCACATTGATTCCTATCATCCACGCAAGAGTCTTGCGAACCCATCCTATGATGATATTTGCTCAGACACGTCGGTAATTCCCACCCCAACAATCCATAATGCTTCACACTGCTCGAGAATCAAAACAAGGCTGATATAGTAGCAGTATGCGCCCGAAGAAGAATGTGCTGCATGACGAAAACTAGGTTTCGTTGCTGTCGTATAGTCTTACTCCAAGCTGCCTTCACCACGCCTCTCAGCTCTACCCGGTTGCGAACATATCCATGGTGCATACGTGGCCAGAAGCCCACCGTAGCCGGTATTGCGAGTTGCCGATCTAGTCTTACAAACGGCGAGCTGAGCATAGTTTATGGTGGAATCCACGCGTCCCCATTCTAAGCTCACGGGAGATAACAGTTTTACGTCAGCCTCCGATCCAGCCGTAGAGCTATGGTGGGAAATGCTATATTATAGTGACGATTTTATAAGTCACTGAAGTGTACAAGATAGTCACCCAAGCATTCGCTGGGAAGGAATACCACACGAAATTTCGAAACGTTTTCCTCCTGTGCTGATGGCCGCACCATTTGACCTTGCCCAGCAATCTGACCCCGTTCAATCAGTACTGAGATACAGTCAGGTGTAATGATTAATCACATGGAAAGATGCGAAAAGGGACCAAACATCGTGACTATCATAATATCGTGACAGGGTTCCCGTGAGTACAACAGGTAAGCTCGGGTGATGGTAATAGAGCTTGTGCTGCATCGGCCACCTACATGTCCGATTCTTGTGGCGGACACGAGTCCTTGTTCTATAGTACCAGAACAAAGATCGATTCGACAGACTGCCCATTGTACATGGTGAGTGTAGAATGGGCCCTGGAGGATAGAAAAGACATGAAGGATCAAGCTTTTCTCGGCAAAGCTCGATGATGATAAGAGTGGGGTGATCGACGCTGTGCAGCTGGCCAACGAGCGTGGTGTGTACCTGCAACACGGATAGTAGCCTTGATCTTATTCCATCTCACTTTATGATATCGTTTAGATGGCAGACTGATTCAAGAAGGTGAAGGAACATGGTGTTCAATCTCTCGTGCTGAAGACGTGACTTTCTCAGAGACACTACTTAGATTTGTCTCGCGACGTATTAACTTGACTCGGGATGGCAGCGCCATCCAAAGCCTACCGGTACATAAGGCTATGATCATGATGAGAATTGATATTATATGGACTATTAAAGGAATTTTGAACCTATCAAAACATGTTCAACCCATCATGAGCATGCAGGCGATTATTATATGATGAGTAGTATGGGTAGACAAGCTGCCTAAAATTGCAGCATCCCACAGATTGCTTTGTACTGGATTGGTCCTTTCAAGCGCTGTCTTAAGTTGCTAACCACTCGCCCAGGTATCAATTCCTCAGTCGTTGTTACCCGTAGCGACACCCCAGAAGTATGCTGCCCACGCACCCAGAATCAGGAACAACAGCGCAATGAAGAGCGACATGCTGACTCTCCTATTTCTATAACCCTCGGCTCCACAACCGAACTGTTCTCTGCGCTCATTGATCACGTCACCCTTTGCGATCCTCTGCTTCCTGGTCCATTGGAGGTGTTTGAGATCTACGGTCCAATAACTCCCGATAAACAAAGTAGCGGCAACCAGTACAGAACCAGCGGCAAGTACGACGTATACAATGACTACATTATCATAGGAGTCATTGTCACGATCTTGGATGACGCCAGTGATAATGCGAACGATGATACTCATACTGTTGTTGACGGCAATCTTGACAGCATAGGCCGAGCCAAAAACTTCCTGGTGCCACATTGAGGTGCGGATTGAGTCGATGATGACAGTCGGACCAAATGTGAATGCGACGCCATATATTCCAAAAGAGGCTGCGGTGCCAGCGTACGTTGGTCCCCACGCTGCTAAACACATGGATAGGAGCATTCCCAGGCCGCAGACAAGCATCAGGGTAATGCGATTTCCAAGGAGGTCGATAAAGATTCCAATGAGTGGTACCAGGAAGAAGCCCAGGTACTGTGCCATGGAGGAATACCAACCTGCTTTGACAGCGTCCATATTGAACCGTTTCTCGGCCAACTCGGTTGAGTTCTGCGAGAAGATCACAGCAGTGCTGGTTTGAAAAAGTGAGAAACCAACGATGCTCCAGAAGGGCCACGGCAGTTGAAGGACTTTTTTGACCTCGAATTTCTTGTTGCTTTCTGTGAGCTTTTCACCAGTCGCAGGATCATAAGTGCCGGTATACTTCTTGGCACACCATCGTGTGAAGTACCAGTATACAACCGTTGTAACGTTGGTGAAGAGGTTCATGAAAACGGCAGTCCAGTATACCCAGCTGAAGTCACCGGTGTTCTTAGCAATCACATTTGCAGTCGCTTTGCCAACAAAAGATCCGATCTTGCCGACGCCGAGTTGGAAGCCAAGGGTCGAAGCAAAGCCGTTTGAAGGAGCGAACCATGAGCTAAAGATCTTGTACTGAGCGACCTGCGTAGCAATATCGCCGAACGCTTGGACAACGACGCCAAAGATCATGAATCTGTATGATCGGACGGTGGTGGCAGCCGCGACGAAGATCGCACCAGTGCTGTATATTGCGTTACCCCATAGCATAGCGCCTAGAAGTCGTGGTCAGGAGCCTATTGGAGTTATCAAATTTGAAGTAACTGACTTGCACCGCCGATCCTATCCGTGACGAGACCACTGAGGAGGATCAAGGCGGTCTTCATGAAATCTTCGCTAGCTTCGAGTACAGAGAATTGGGCATTATTGATATGCAATTGCTATTCATAGTTAACGGAACCATCCATCTGCAACCTTGGTGATAAATTGTACCTTTTTCAATGTGCTCTTCATCGCACCAGTCACCCCACTACTCCAGTGGGATCCAAAACCAGTTGCCGTTACCAACAAAAGAGCAATTAGCTTCATCTTTAATGGAATCTTTGAGCTGTGATCTAAGTCGCCATGCTCGCTCGTTGAAGGAGCCTCGCTCTCAGCAACGACAACATCCTTGACCGTCTCCTTTGTAGATGCGACCTGCTCCAGCTGGCTCCTAGTGACAGTTGAGCCCGTACGCTCTGCGGAAGGTTGAGTATTCATGCCTGCAGATATAAAGTGTATCCAGAGACACGCACAGTTAATGATGATCAGATAAGAGGAATGATCAAACAAGCTGCAGCGATACACCTTGACTTAGTACTGGGCCTTGGTTCGAAAATCCACGCGGAAGAGCTGCAGGGTCTGATGGTCCACATTGTGCGAGCGGGTAGCATTCGGGCCTTCCGAGTGACAATGTAACTATCTCCACGGCTTCTATTCCATACTCAAGCGAGCTTACCAAGCTGTTGTCACGCGAAAGACTCTTGATGCCGACAGTTTTCAAGTTTGAGGATACTCTGGAATTGGATCATGGTAGTGCGCGCCATTCACAAAGCGTAACATGATTTACAAATGCCATCGATATGTATCAGCCGTATAGAATTTGAATTGCGACCTGAACATGCTGCGTTCTACAAGAGAAGAGGTCTGCAAGGGGGGCCGATTACGTTAGTGAAAAGGAACGAGAGCCGGTTGTGTTCCCGGTCTGGTCTAGAATTCTCGCGTATGCTTCGACGAACCGTGCCCGGTGAAAATTTTATCAGATCCTGCATCAGATAAGATCTCTTGACATCAAGCCAAGCTGTAGGGCGATGTCGCTTCTCTCCAAGAAGTCTTCGCCAATGCGAACCTCCGACATGGCCAAGATATTTGTCATTCGTATACCGGTACCTGACTGACACACGGTAGCCGGAAAGATTCGGAGTTGGCTCGCATCAACATCACCCCTGGCGTCCACATTCAACCGCACGGCCAGTTTTCCATTCACTCCCGACTAATTCGGGAACACCAGCCATATCGATCAGACTATCAACTGACCACAACAGCACATCATTAAAGGCATTCAGCCTCTAAAGCTTTACTCCACCAATATCCTGTCACCCACTGTGATGAACTCCAAAATCAAACACTGGGCGCATCAGATAACGATTCCTCAAAAGGGCCCAACCGTTTCTCTGAAAAACCATGGTACATCTCTCATAAATATTTATTCTTGCTGTGGTCCATTGCCGCTTGACATATGGTATTTACCAGACTTTGCATTCCAAGTTGAAGTGATACAAAGGCGACTGAAAGCCCCACTGATCAACTAGGTACCCCGCACTTGGTTCCTTGTAAGGTCTTCTATTCTCCTTCGGCTCTTGAAGATATGCACCATCATTCATATACATTCATCTCGAAGATTGCAGCCGAGATCTTGAGATTGCAATGGGAACATCAGGATCTGTGACCTGCGCGTACCATTCCCGAACGCAACCGCGACTTGACGAGTTCCATGTTGCGATCCACAACATGGGCATCCACACAGAAGACACCGCCAATAGTGCGCATGGCTGCAGTATTTACCTTCAAAACAGATTCGTTAGTCATGCGAAGGAGCACTCGTACATCAAGCCAAAGGCGTTCAATCAGGTCGTAATCCAACAATGTTGCCGCATGAGGCCACTCCGCGGATGAATCATAAGTTCAATATGGTATCTCACAAACCGAGATATATGATTGAAACACGTGAACGAGATTGATGGGATCATCTTATATGCCGAGTCCGGCAATGAGGTCCAACGTTCAGGACTGCGTTACGATTGGAACGTTGCCTACCGACTAAGAGAAGGACTTATGAAGATCAATCTATTCATATCTCTACCTGCGACCAAAGAGTGGAGTGCATGTCATTCTGATGAACTGTTTTGACAGTCAACAGCGTGGCCGGGCAAACCACCGCCTTATAAGACCACAGGTAGACATCACAAGCCAGTACCATCAAGACAGAAGTATTGACCGCTTTTGCATTTCCTCCTCCAACATCAAGCCTCACACATACAACATGACCGCCGCCACAGAAGCTCCCCGACGGGTAGAATGGAACGGCAAGCAAGTGCCAGTGTACCCAATGCAGACCATTGATTTTTCGGCTTTGCTGTCTCAGGAGCCCAGCGAGTTGGAGAAAGTCCTGCAATGCTGCCAAAAGGAAGGCTTCTTCTACCTCGACCTTAACAACGTCGACGGTCGCAGGTTCCTTGATGATCATCAGGAGTTACTGAAGCTCATGCATCGTTTCTTCGATGCACCACTGGAGGTCAAGAACGAGTACGGGCTCATTAGCCCACATCTTGGGTAAGTTTCACTCGGAAGAAAGTCCGAGAAATTTTTCAGGGTGCTGACGTGTAACAGATACGAACCTGTTGGCTCACGCAACGGTGTCCTCGAAGACACGCGTGATGGCTACGAAATGGTCAAAGTTTCCCGTGATGAAATCCAACGCGAATCTCCCCACATCCCCCGCAACATCAAGAACAGCTCAGACCTGAAAGTCCTTGAGAATGCCATCTCAGGCAACAACATCATGTCCAAGGCTATCCTGGCCGCCCTGTCCTCCGCATCCGGTCTCACAGGCGCATCGCGCTTTGAGAACATGCACCGCAACCATCGTCCTTCAACCAGCACTCTCGCAATGATGCACTATATTCCCTCGAACCCATCAAAGGACGGCAACGTAGGTCACCAGAAGCACACGGATATCAGTTCGCTCACCGTGCTGTTTACCGAGCAATGGGGCCTTCAGATCCGGCCACCAGGGACCAAGGAGTTTGGATTCGTTGAGCCGAAGAAGGGCATGGCTATCATTAATGTTGGTGATTCGCTTCGCTTTGCAAGCGGACATACGTTCCAGTCATGCATTCATCGCGTTGTGCCGTTCAACTATAGCGAGCACCGCTACTCGGTTGCTTACTTTCTTCGCGCCGAAGATGAGACCATGTTCCAAGATAGTGAGGGTAGGTACGTCACTTCGCGCCAGTGGCATGATGAGAAATTCATGGCGTTCATTGCTTCGCCGGCAGATCAGGCAAAGGCACCGAGCTCGCTTTTGCTGGGTGGCATGAAGGAGGACGAGACTGATGTCTATGGATTGCCAAAGGCTAAGCCTGTGGCGGCTGAGCCGTTGAAGAACGCTGCTGTGGAGGTGACTGCTGTTGAAGTACATTAGGCTTTTGATAGCCTCTTCCGTGCTGTCTAGCTTAGTGTTTCCAGTCATTACATCAATGCAGGGATGGCTGGTGTTGTATATATCACACAAGTACATAGGCCATCAAATTGAGCCATTCCTTTGAACATATAAAAACACACGATGCATAAGCATTTCGACCAAATCGGACGCCATGGTGCACAGTATTTTGCGGATATATGCCACGCGAGATTGAATAGCCGGAAACACGGTTGTAGATCATTAATTGCAGTACTCTTTAAACAGCTTGGTAAATTGGGTTAACCAGGATCGACACCTTGCCGGGAATCCTCCACGGGTAATTGAACGCTTTCGTCACGAGTACCAGCCATGCGTTATCTCCCAAGCTTTTCAATCACATTGCAATAGTCCTTTTGTTGCACAAAACATACCTGCCATAAAGATGAAGTTGTTTTGGCTTCTATTAGCAACACCCGGCGTCTTCGCGTGTGACAAAGAGCACAGGTTTCGTCGTCATGACCGACACATACAGCGCCGCTCGGTCAATACTACGTTCCCACCAGTATTGACTGATCACGAGAGAATATTGGTATCAACTTTCGACAACGCTTCGATATCGGAGTGGTCGCGACATTATAGTGGGTCAAGTATTCTTTGATCAGATGTTGAACATTAACGAATTCCAACAGCCCACAAAAGGAATGTCGCAGGTGAAAGCGATGCTGCTCCTCGCTGGACAGCCGAGCAATGGAAGAAGCATGGGTTTTCAACGAGACTAGATGAATATCGTGAGTTGCAGCAATAGCTTAACCTATGATCTGTTGATGAGTAGTAAGATGTCTACCTGAACTATCCTGTCCACCGTTCTCTTGAACTCAAATACAGCAACGGAAGCAGCTATGTACCGACGCTGGAGGAAGAGGTTCTCGAAGTAGACGAAGTTACCGGGTATCAGCTCTCTTTCGTCTGCGGGCAACGCCTCCAGATCCCCTTCTAACATGTTTCAGGGATCCAGATCACGTCCCTGCCTTCCACGGGTATTCTTTTTCTGGAAACGCGAGTGCAGAATACGTATATGTTGGTATGATACATTAACGCGCTGATTGATCAATCTGATTTGCTTCAGGTCGTGGTCAACGCGAAGACTTCCAACGTCTGAAGGACCTGGGAATCGATCTGGCCGGCAAGATCGCGCTCGCAAAATACGGCGGTCCGTTCCGGGGTCTTAAAGTGAAGAACGCGCAAGAGCATGGGATGGTTGGCGCCATCATATTCACTGATCCTGGTGATGACCGGAATATGACGGCACAGCACGGTTTCAAGCCATATCCGGACGGACCGGCGCGCAATCCCACAAGTATCCAGTAAGTCCACTTGTACATGCTGTCTGAAAACATGAGGAGACTGACCCTTATTCTCTATTTTTGTAGAAGAGGTAGCGTAGCATTTTTGAGCACATACCCGGGCGATCCAACTACACCTGGCTATCCATCAAAAGAGGGCTCACCGAGACTGGAGAAAAGGACTGTGCCTAGTATCCCATCGCTTCCTATATCCTGGATAGAAGCAAAACCATTATTGCAAGCTCTGAATGGCCATGGTCTGCAAGCGGCGGAAATTGCACGTCCCAATTGGCAAGGGGCAATACCAGGAGTCGAATACAGCAGCGGCCCGGTTTTCGGCACGAGCTTGACAGTCAATAATGTTATGGAAGACGAGATAGGACAGATTTGGAATACCATTGGCATTATCAACGGAACCAACGAAGACGAGGTGGTGATTGTCGGTAATCATCATGACGCGTGGATGATTGGAGGCGCAGGTGAGTCTAACAAAAGCATCGTTTTACCTGGTCTGAAAAGCCTCAGCGGACCCACATTCTGGATCGGCAATCTTGGTTGAGCTTGCAAAAGCTTTTGGATCCCTACTTGAGACAGGGTGGAAGCCGCGGCGTACGATTGTCCTTGCTAGTTGGGATGCAGAAGAATATGGATTAGTGGGAAGGTACGTCAAGGATGTCATTGTGGGAACTGTGGACCCTAGGGTATCTGACTTCAAGTATAGTACCGAATGGGTGGAGGAGTACATACCCTGGCTGAAGGATGCCGCAGTCTCGTACTTGAACATTGACGTTGGTGTTGCGGGTACCATACCTGACTTCTCTGCGACCCCAGATCTTCACGCGCTCGTCACCTCTGTCGCAGAGAAGGTAAGATGGCCCCATGGTAAAGACCGGACTTTGTACGATTTATGGGAAGAGAAGACTGGAGAGATTGGTGTTTTGGGCGCTCAAAGCGACTACACGGCCTTTGTGCACCGGAGTGGGATTGCTGCCCTTGATATGGGTACCACGCGTGGCCCACTGGATCCAATTTACCATACGCATTCAAACTTTGACTCTTTCCATTGGATGTTAAACTACGCGGATCCCGGATTCCTGATGCACAAAGCCATCGGCCAGTTTCTCACGCTGATGGTTTTCCATTTGGCAGACGACGAAATACTCCCACTAGAGCCATCCAACTATGGGCCTGAGATGCGCGGATACTTCAGAGATCTGGAGCAATTGTTACACAGCGAGAATTCCAGCACGGAAACAGACCTATCGCTGCTTGAAAACGCCATCACTGCCTTTGAAATCGCAGCGCAAGATTTCGATTTACGTCGTCATCAGGCTGCTTTCAATGGATCCGAGTTGCTACGTGAACTCAATGGCAAAGCGCGTGACTTCTCACGTGGATTCGTTAGTCAAGGCGGGCTTCCGGATCGCAAGTTCTACCAACACCTCATCTTTGCTCCAGGTATAGACACAGGCTATGCCCCCGTAACCTTTCCCGGCATTACGGAAGCAGTACTCGCTGGCGACTTGAGCTTGGCTCAAGAGTTTGTTGATCGGACATCGAGTGCAATTATAACGGCAGCAAATCTCCTGCGCAAGTAGAATAAAATTGGTAGATATGACGCTACACTAGAATGACAGCCCCTGAACAATTTGAAAATGGTGCGTGTGGCTGCCCAAAGGGACGATGAGGCTGCCCAGGTACCGACATGCGGAATTGATCAAACCTTAAGATGTTAATGTTGCTCGAGCGTAGCGCCAACCTCATCTGCTCTATGAGTTGTCTGGCAACACCCACGTTTCGTGCCCCTAAGCCTCACAATTTCCATGGGAGGAAGAATCTTGTGTTCACGCCCGAGACTTTTATCCCAGGAACACACGTCGAAGCGAGAACCCAACCTGGTTCTTTGTCGAAATTATCGATGGAGCCTGGAGCAATTATGCTCCTGTCAGTGAATTTGCGGAAACGGGATAGGCAAGCGACTACCGGTAGAGCGCAACGCCTCCTCGCCTCCTCCCACGCATTTGTACAGCATAGACCATCGCTTTTGAGGACTAGCCCTAGGTATTCTCACGTAGTCCAATGTGTCTGTAGTCTCGGCCCTCGGAGGGAACGTCACATCAGCGACTACAAGGGTCTAGATCCTACGACTATGATCTGGTCCCAACTTAAGCCTTATCTCTATACAATTGTCTTGTCGTGCAGCATTAACCGCAAAGATGATAAATAGATGATGGCGCTATATTCACCAGTCGAAATTCCTACAGTCTTCATCAATATCCCTCCCATTGGTAGCCTATTTGTTACTCAATGACCATGTTCCAAAACCATGGAACGGTTTTGCCCGCCTTAATATTTGATGGCTATCTATAGCCAGAGCTTTCTTGCAATGCTCTTTTTTTTGTCATTTACTGCCAAGAAAGAGCATTGCGGTTCCCCAAGAAGCGCTCGACTGCCACCTGCCAAGTGCTGGCCACTGGCATCGCGGGTATCTTGTAGTGGCAAAGAGAGCGCCACCACGGCATAGGGTTCCACGAGAGACAGCACTATGTAAGTTGGGACGTCGGTGTTGAAACGAGATTGATCGCACCAGACTCGACGGAGCCACTCGATAGTTCCTCGAGTGACAGTATTGTCATATGGCAAAACTTGCAAGGAGCGCCCTAAAGAGGATCTTCATCATCTGGTTCATTGCGCAAATATGCTACCTCATCTTGTGGGTAGCTGGCTGACCAAAGCGCCGACTATCAATAGTGCTGCAAGGATACCACTTTGTACGGGTGCAAACAAGGCGGAGCGAATGATAACCAAAGACCCAACTACTACGAATGTAATAGGCAGTACAGTAGCAGGCCGATATGGCCGTTCAAGCTGTGGCTCTCGTCGACGAAGGATCAGAAGACCGATGACTGTGGACACATAGAAGACCCATTCCGCCATACCGACGAAGGTGAGTAATGCTCTAAAACTACCAGTAATGATGTAGATGAGCGTTACGACCAGAGCGAGTAGATTCGCATATCTAGGCTCAGGTCAGCGTGGTCTCCAGCCTTCATAGATGGTACTGACAACGGCGCATCGAGACCCGAAAGTGACTGGTCATCACTATCTTGTGTTCGTCTCCGTGTCGGGAGCCCACGCTTACTGAAGAACGCTGGAAGATAATGCCGTTGTGATGCAGCCATTGTTAGTCTGCCTACTGAGAAGACGTTGCTTGTGATAGACCCAGCACATGAGATGGCGACAAGAATCGTGACGACGATACCAGCGGGTCGACCTAGAAGTGAAGTCGCTGCAGATACCGCTACTGCGTTGTTGCTGCTTATCTTAGTCCAAGGAACTAGAATGTAATATGCAATATTGACAAGCTCGAACGAGGACAATACCACCACCATGGCGGCTTTGATAGCTTTGGGAAGCGCCCGACCTGGATCACGGATTTCGCTCGCAACGACGTTGGCCTGCAAAGATATATAAGGATGGAACACAAGATAAATATCGAGATAATGGAGGACACTCACATTGTCCCAACCGTCATAAGCCCACAGACCTCCATATATGGCTGCGCAATAATGGCCATAGCGATCCCAGGCACCCATTGATGCCCAGTCGATTGTGTGACCCTCAGACACCGTGGGACGAGTCTCAAACCATCCCTTGGAGTACCAGTCACTTGAGCCAGACAGTGGTGAGCTCGGATTGACTAGATGGGCAACAACCGCGATGAGGCCACCCATGACAAGTAGTCCAACGGTTGACAATTTGAACACGGTGAATGACTCGCTCAGTTTCAAGGTGAACTTTGTGTTTATAGAATTGAGAAGGACCATGGAGATCAAAGCTAGCGCGGCGATGAGTTTGAGTGCGCCAGGACCATTGATGGAAGTAATGGATCCAATGGACTCTGCTATCACGATACTCTGAATAGCCATTGATGAGGGTTTTACGGCCATGATGTAGACCCATGCCATCTGGAAGGCAACGGTATCTCCAAACACATGGCGTAGGTACTCCTGCATGCCGCCATTGAGGGGCAATGCTGCACCTAGCTCAGCGAACGATGCAGCTCCCGCCCAAGACAGGAGTCCCCCCAAAACCCATACAAGAAGAGCGGCACCGGGTGAGGGAACATTGCTGTCGACCTGGGCAGGCGAGGCGAAGATGCCCGAGCCTATCTGCAAGGTGACCAGCACAGCAAATGCATGTCGCGTCGTAAGCTGCTTGGCTAGTGAATGGGTTGATGCTGATGCTGACGAAAGTTGTCGTCCCAGTAGCGGTTCCACCTCTGTGGGGTTTGGTTTGGGTGGTTCATGCGCGTCGGGGTTGATATCATGATCCATTTGTGCGACTCGATCACTAAAGGGCCGCCACTTCACATGCGGCCACAGTAGACAAAGATCTTGGACGGCGGAAGGATTTCTATCTTAGCAGTTGATGCGGTTTGTAACTACCAAGACAGATGAGCCTTGAAGGGACGAAAAAAAGGGGAAGGGGTTAAGCAGTCTCAGACGGTGACGGCGTTGTCAAGACTTCAAGAGACGCTAGAGGCGGGGGTTACACTTCAAGCCGTAAAGGTAATAACAATGCCTGGAGAAAGAAAAAAGGGGTATACTTGTGTGTACCATCTACACAATGGACCTCAGCAGTCGCACCTTGGCAAGCAGATGTAGTTATTGAAGATGAAGGGCCACTCTGCCAGTGAAAAGGAAAGCCAGGCTGAACATCGAACATGCTCTCAGAGTGGTCTAAAAGTGGCGGTCGTGCACAACGCCACAGTGTGGCTGAGAAAAAGGCTTGGCCATCGCCAGACCTCGCAAGAGCAGCCCACTAAGAGGATCCAACTACACCAACCCCATACATACAACCCACTGCAAAACCTTACCTAGGCCTAGAATCCGCTGCCTTTGGGACAGAAAGTGCCTCCGACAAATTCCTCGCCCGACCAAACCACCTGCAACCGCTGTCGCCCCCGGTGCCCCCCACACCCCTCTTCGCTTTCCTCCACGCCAACAAGCAGGTACGTCAACACGACTCCCGCGCCAGAGCTCGCCAGCCCCGCAATCACAAACTCATTTCCACCCAGGGGCAGATACAAGCAACACCTCCCCTCCTCCTCCATTGTTAGCTGCGCCACCTTACGCCTCCACTTTGGGCAGCTAGTACGCTCCAACGACATCATCTCTGCCACCCGCCCCTCGACACAATACCGCCATCATGGACGCGAATCAGAACGACGAGCTCTATCCAATCGCCGTTCTCATCGATGAACTCAAGCACGACGATGTCATTTTGCGATTGAACGCCATCCACCGCCTCAACACAATCGCTCTTGCACTAGGCGCCGAACGGACACGGGAGGAGCTCATACCTTTCCTCGACGGTGAGATTGCAGATGATCAGCAGTAGCGGGGCCCTTGGCTAACAAGTCGCACAGAATCTGTCGAGGATGAAGACGAAGTTCTCACAGCGCTGAGCGAGGAGTTGGGCAAGTTTGTCGAATACGTTGGTGGTCCAGAGCATGCGCATGTGCTCCTGTCACCTCTCGAGAATCTTGCTGCGATAGAGGAGCCCCTCGTTCGAGAGAAGGTGCGCTCTATCCTCGTTTTTGGTAATTATAAAACTGATGTGTGTGCAGGCTGTCGAGTCGCTGAACAAGATCTGCGAGGAACTGTCGCAGCAGCAGATTGAGGACGCTTTCATCCCCCTTGTCCTGCGCCTATCAAAGGCTGACTGGTTTACCTCGAAAATCTCCGCGACTGGTCTTTACCAGACTCCGTACTCGCGCGCCACACCGCCCTCGCAAGAAGCGCTCAGGCAGCACTACGGACAGCTTGTGCACGATGACACACCCATGGTTCGGAGACAGGCCGCCAACAACCTCGCAAAGTTCATCAAGGCAATGCCACCAGCGATTGTCATTGACGAGATGATTCCGCTTTTCCAGCACCTCGCTGCAGATGACCAGGACAGCGTCCGTCTTCTGACGGTAGACATCTTGATCGCAATCGCAGAGGCAGTACCCAAGGAGCAGCAGTCAAGTCATGGTGTACTGCTGACGGCGCTTCGCAGTCTGTTTGAGGATAAGAGCTGGAGGGTGCGATACATGGTTGCAGATCGGTTTGAGAAGGTAGGTGCAATCGCAAGCAAAACGAAGCCCAGGCTAACAGCGTCTAGATTGCGAAGGCCGTCGACGAGGAGGTCGTCAACCGTGACTTGGTCCCAGCGTTCGTCAAGCTTTTAAAAGACACCGAAGCGGAGGTCCGCAGTGCCATTGCAGGGCAGATCCCTGGTATGAGGTGCAGCAGCTCAGGTCATCAATATGGTGCTAACGTAGGCTGACAGGCTTCTGTGCACTGCTCGAACGCGAGACGCTTCTCCACGAGGTCATGCCCAGCATTGAGGAATTGGTCTCTGACCAGTCGCAGCATGTTCGCGCTGCTCTTGGCACTCAGATTAGCGGGCTGGCCCCAATCCTCGGGAAAGAAGAGTAAGCCTCCAGGAACGCGTGACCACGTGCTCTCGTACTGATCCTGGCTAGGACCATTTCACACCTTCTACCCATGTTCCTTCAAATGCTCAAGGATGAGTTCCCTGATGTTCGTCTGAACATTATCTCGAAGCTTGAGTCTGTGAACAACGGTATGTGCTGTCAATGTAATTATACACAATCTTTGCTGACATGAAGCAGTCATCGGCATCGAGCTGTTGTCCCAATCCCTTCTCCCTGCTATCGTTCAGCTTGCTGAAGACAAGCAATGGCGCGTACGACTTGCTATTATCGAATACGTACCTCTTCTTGCGTCTCAGCTCGGTGTCAAATTCTTTGATGAGAAGCTGAGCAGCTTGTGCATGAGCTGGCTCGGCGACACCGTCTTCTCTATTCGTGAAGCGTCCACCCAGAACCTCAAGAAGCTTACAGAGGTCTTCGGTGTGGAGTGGGCCAACGATGCGATCGTTCCCAAGGTCATGGCTATGGGCCAACACCCCAACTACCTCTACCGAATGACAACCTGCTTCGCTGTTTCAGTAAGTGTCGATACGACGTTTCTCAATTCCTCATTCTAACGCATGTAGACTCTCGCACCCGCTCTCAGCTTGGATGTCATCGAACAGTCAATCATACCCATGATGGACAAACTTGTAAACGACGATATCCCCAACATTCGCTTCAACGTCGCAAAGTCATACGGCCAGCTTATCAACACACTGAAGCAGCTACCGGAGGAGGGTACAGTCATCGCTCTTGAGAAGGCGGGCACACCCGGCCAAGGGTGCCAAAAAGCAACCGACGTCATCACAAAGAGCATCCTGCCGAACCTGGAGAAGCTGCAACAAGATGACGACGTTGATGTTCGATACTTTGCAACGACGGCGGCACAGAGTTTCACGGATGCGATGCAGACCTAGGAGGTCGTAGAGCGTCCGAAGACTTCCAGTATTTCAAAGGATTGACATGACGATGAAGCATTGATGCATGGGTTAATGACATGGATAGACGTAGTGCACGAGAGCAAAGCTTAGGCTTGCTTTTGTTGGATTGATGTGATGGCCTTGAAAGCATTGTAGCGTAACAGCAAAGGTGAAGAGCCCAAGACAGGAGGTCGTAGTGTGGGCTCATTCAACGAACATAGCCAACAAAGATTAACACTGTTAGATGTTTGATGACGGCACGTAATGGCACAATTTGTGCAATCAAGCAAAGAGGTTGTTGATCAAGTTTGATGGACAGTATTTGACCACTGGCCTTGGCTACGGCATTCAATTCCCTTGGTGGTACCTGGAACTGGTTTCTAGAGGGCACCAGCACTCTTGAGCATATTCTTCAACTCCCTCCTCTTGCTCTGCAGGTCCGAGTTGCCACCAATGTGCTTCTGCGCAATGAATATGCTAGGCACCGTAGTCTGGCCCGTCATTTCGCCCAGAGCAGACTGGATGGCGGATCCATCATCTAATCAGCCCGCGTTAGTACTTGTATCTCCATGCTACGCTCCCCACCCGTCCCCTCTGCCATGTATCTTGCCGCGTCACGCCATGCCACGGTGCGGAGAGTGAAATTGTGCAAACGTACCGACTTGATCCAACTCAATGGCATAAAACTTTGCGCCACTCTCACTCAACAGTTGTTTGGCCTGTCTACAGTACGGGCACCATGACTTGCTGAAGACGGCAACCGGGTTCTCTTCGATGATGGATTGGACTTTGGCCTTTGAGGCGGCCATGGTGGTTGGGCTGGGGGCGCGCGAGAAGAAGCGCGCGAGGAAGGATATGGTTGCGGTTGGGGGGCCGGAGGGCCTCGGTATCTGGGGGTAGGGCTGTGATGGGGCGTAAGTGAGGTGAATGGCGAAGTAGAAGTGGCCGTGCTTAAGTGAGTAGTGCGAGAAGGGGCGAGGGGGTGTGGGCTCAGAGATATGCGCTATGTGTAGTGAAAAGGTTGTTGCGTGGTGACGGATGCGGGTTGGGATGGAGGGGGGGGAAGAGAGTGAGAGAGACGTACTGTAGTGTTTGTGGGAAATAGGGAAGTAAGTAGGTAGGGACTCGATCTAGAGTCTTTAGTAGAGAAGTTGTGTGTGTGTGTGTGATATTAGTGCGCGCACCCCGCAGCAGATTTGATGATGGTGGTGGTGGTGACGGATGGCGCAAAGTGACGCCCACCCACCCATTTTTAGTCCGTTTTTGCGCTGCGACGGCGCCGATCGGTTCGGCCGAGAATGAAGGGGAAAGGATCAATCATCAGGGCAAGGTATCAAGAGTGCAGAACAAGGGTATTGAGGTTTTGACTGCCTGTCCAGCCATGACGATTACGCGTCGGTGACTCGGTGGTCGCGCTCCAGGGTCCAGTGAAAAGCTTGGGATGGATGGCTGGGTGAGAGTTGCAGGAAACCTTGATGTGAAGATCGTGTAAAGGATTGTTAGAGTTTTGCTTTTGCTCGAAAGTGGTACATGTCAAAAACGTTGCAGGTAGTGTAGTAATCGTTGCAGCAACAACTTGTTCGGGTCGCGCGCTCTTCCGCATTCCGCCCGAGAGAAATGTCCATGAGTGGTTCCGCGTACTTCCATCGGTGTTGCACCTTGATGATTCAATTTCCCTGCGCCAAGGGCAGCAGCTCAACGTATGATCTTGACTTAGCTACCTGTACCTACCTACTACCCTATCGATAGCGATTGCTTTGCCTCCCTTTCGTCTGTGAATACTACTACTACTACTACTACTACTACTGCTACTACTGCTACTACTACTGCTACTACTACTACTACTACTACTACTACTGCTACTACTACTACTACTACTGCTACTACTACTGCTACTACTACTACTACTACTGCTACTACTACTACTACTACTACTACTACTACTACTACTACTACTACTACTCAATCCTACAACAACCACCATCGCCACCACACCACAACGAACCCTCCCCCCGAGGCCGCCGATTACATGTCCACCCCATCCACGCCCTCATCGCGATGACGTCTTCGGCCGGCGGCTCAATCGCATTCTTCGTCCTCGCCCTCCTCACCATCATCGGCCTCGTGCTTCTTCTTCTGCGATATTACCTCCCTCTCCGCACAACACCTGCCTACGTAGTCGTCCCCGTGTTCCTGGCCATTGCCCTCCCAGCAAGCATCGTCGTGCTCCTCCCCGTCGATCTCGCAAGCAGCGCCGGCATAGCCACGGATGGTGCAAGGGGGATCTGGCTGCCCGACACCGTCGTGTACAAATCATGGCGCATTGTGTATTGGCTTACCTTTGCGCTGACATGGGCCATCCTGCCGATGCTAGGCGAGTACTGCGATTCGGGCTATCGAGAGCCCAAGGCCCGGATGCTGTATGCGCTGAGGAGTAACGGGCGGTATTGGTTGATTATGCTGGGAATCGGTCTGGTTGGGTCAATATATCTGATTTGGTGGAATGGGTTCGAAAGGGATACTTTCAAGTCGCTGGTCATGGCGCTGGCATACACGTGGGGGTTGATACTGGGCATCTATCTCATGGGCCACGGGCTGGTCGCATTCCCGAGGAGTCTGTTCCGGTATGCGAGTGTGAGTGCGCGCTTGAAGAGGATACAGAGTTCTGCGCCCAAGATTCACGAGAAATTGCATGATGCGCTGGAGATGCTGGAGCAGTACGAATATCAGGTTGTGCAGCTGAAGCAGCGGAAAAATGCGATTCCACGCGATTTTCAAGAATGGATCGACGAGTTGGCGGAGAAGAGCAATTTGCCAGAAAGTAGAGTAGGCGCATTCGCACGAACAAACGCAACCACCATCCCACCCGTAGTCACAGAACGCTACCTGGCCGACCTGACGCGCAAACTGAAACGAGCGCGTCACGCAAAAGCCCGCTTCGAAAACGAATGGGACCATGTGGTCCGCCGTGCCCTGCGTACGCAGGCTATCCTCGACTCCAAAGCCAGTAAACGCCTGGAATTCATAGCATCGCAGGCTGGTCTTTTTGACCGTCTAAAGTTGCATACACCATACACACGTTACCACCTACACGTTCACATCATTCCTGCGCTAACCTATCTCACCTGGATTATCGCAGTCCTAGCCTCCATCTCGATCGTATGGTCTGAATGCGTGCGCGAAGCTCAGGATTTTGGAGGCCAAAAATTATCCATCATCGGCTGGACCGTTGTTCACCGCGTCGAGAGCGGCCGGTCGTCTATCGGGTTCAACAGCCAAATCATCGCAGCAGCATGGCTATGCTACATGTGCATCTGTGCCTTCTACTCGCTCACCGAGATCAAAATCTGGGGCAACCGCGCGCTCGTCCGCCGCAACACGTACCAAGAATCCGCCACCTGGTACGGGCTGCAGGTGGCCAAGCTAACCGTGCCCCTGAGCTACAACTTCCTCACCATGACGGACAAGACGATCTGGAAGGGCACCATGTTTTACAAGTTTCTGGGCCGGCTGATTGTGCTGACGCCGCTGGGCGAGGGCTTCAGCGCATTTTTCCCAATCTTCATCCTCGTCCCCGTGTTTGCGACGGCGTTTGGGCTCTATGGCAAGGTGAAGAGTATCTGTGGCTTTGGCGATTTGCTCGAGGACGAAGAGGAGGATGCGCGAGGCGGGTATGCGGGCACGGGGTCCTGGCGCGAAGGCCGCGCGCTCATCGAGAGGGAATTGCAGGCTGCAAATGGCAATGCCCTGGGTCTCAGCGCAAGGTCTCCTACTTCGCCGCCCAATGAAGAGTATGCGGATTCTTCTACGCCCGCTCTTCTGTCCAACGGCACCACAACGGGAATCGGTGCCGAACCCGGTACCAGTCGACAGCAACCTAGATTACACACGCGACCTGAGCGTCGCAGACTCCTCGACGACACTGCCACCGACGATGACGACGATTCCGCCAATTTCCTGGAAACTTTTGCAAGTAGAGTCAAGAACACGTTTGAGAGTGCCGACTTTTCGGTTCCGAGGCCGAGGTGGCTGGGCGGGGATGAGCAAGCGGATCTCGTGGGCAGGAGTCGGAGGAGTAGAACTGGGGAGCGGGCGGCGGATCGCGGAAATTCCTTCTTGGGCCTGTTTGGCGGACGGGGGGATGAGGGGCGATTGCGGCTGTGAGGTTGGGGATGGGTTGGGGTGTTAGCTAGTACGATAGTTTTGTAGGCAGCAAGAAGGGTTTGGGGGATAGGCGTTGTGGGCATTTACGCGGCGTTTGTGAATTTCTGAGAGGGGAAATAGAGAGCAAGGATTGGATTCGTTGTATTTCCGAATATCCTTTTCTTGTTCCGACACTGGTCTTTTTCTGTTTGTGTATTTTCTTGGCTATTTTATTCGGGGGTTCCTTTTCTTGGGGTGAGGACATGTAAACGTCGTCAGAACAGAGTGTACCTGTAAACACATTTCCCGACACCCATGTCCTGTCCATTCACCACTATACCATACCCACCACACCCCTCTTCCTTCAACTCCCTCCACACCCTTTTCCCTTTGCTAACAACACGCAAAGCAGTGGCTTGGCTCACTCGACAGTGCAAAGTGCATAGAGTGGTGTGATGCGGTGTGATGGGTGTGGCGATGTGTGATTTACGTATTTACTTTGTTTAGGAAAAACTGGGGAGGTGGAATGTTAAGTGTGTTCTTGTGGATAGGATGTTGCGGGTGAGTACGGGGGTTGAGGTTGTAGTGGTACTTGACTGGGTGTTGGGAGAGAGGTAGGTACCGGTATGATGTCATGACTTGCTCTAGTTGAATTGCGTTGAACAGCAGAATGAATGTTGGGGGACGGTAGTAGGACTAGGAATATTCCGTCTTTGCAAGTTTAGATCACTCTACATCTTGACCCATTTCTTGAGTGATTTCAAGCCATGGTCCCTCGTACCACACTTTCCATCACCCACACATATCCCATCTCCACAACCCTCCGCCCACAATGCACAAACCCTGCACCCTATGCCACAACCCCCCCCGCCCCCGTACCCCTACGCTGCCGAATCGACGGCTCCAATAACTGGCACTTTGTCTGTCCCGGCAAGTGTTGTCATTCTGTATCAGGGGGCGT